CTGTAATTAATATATGCATTAATCTGTAAAGGGATTACAAGGTGGATTTAGGAAACATTCCCCCCCACACTGATACATGGAAGTACTGGAAGAACCCCAGCCTAGAATATAATTTACATAGTTGAAGAAATGAATTCATATTCTTTAGTTCTCTATTGAACATATCAGAGAATTTTAAATTTCCTTTGAACATAAGTGTCAATTTGCAGAAAGCTTATTCAGTTGATCTGACTATGAAAATGGTACTATAATCTAAAGAATATTTTCCCCATGTTGCTGAGGTGAAAAGCACTTCTATGATTTTGCTACAACAATGACACTACAAACAGACGTGATTTGCTTTATCAGTGCAATGCTTCATTGAAATAATAATTGAAATACTGTATAAACAGTATCACGTCTGTTACAAAGGCATTATTTAATTGAGCCTGTAGTTGCTTAAAAGGAGTTCCAAAAAATATGATTTAGTGCAAATATGCCTCAAATGCATCTCAAATGTATGTTTGAGCAAAAAAAAGCTATGACAAATTACTTCAAATGGTTTTACATGCAGACCATGATTTCTATATTATAATTAAAGCTAACAGTAAGCAAACGTCTTAAAAAAGCAGGCTCATTTTATAGTTGAAAATTTCCATACAGATTTTTCATCTATTTTCTGTCAAAGCAATTGTTTTAAGGGAATTAAATATATAAATAACATAAAAATACAAATATCCAGTTTTACATTTCCCTTAGCTTATGAATGTGATTTGCATGTAATGATAAAATTAGAACTACAAGTTTGCACAGTTATTTTTACTCTAGTCCACATTTGATATTAAAAATAATTTCTGTGCATTTTAGACAACTATTTCATTTTTTTTATTAATACATTGAATATCATTGTAGGAATGCAACAGGACAGAGAAGTAGCTTATCTACCTATTTAGAAGCTTATTTACTACTATTTACTTTCTACTTATTAGCAAAATCAATGTTTTAAGAAGCCTAACACATATGGTAGGTTCAGTGCCTTAATTAAGAACCTTATTCTAACACATTAGCAAGTGGGAACGGGGAAAAAAAAATCACTATAATTTAGTTTTCATTTTCCTCTACAAGTCTGTGAGCACCATTACAGTTAGAATCCTTTGAAAACATTATATTCACCAGAGAGGAGCCTGGAACTGTGTGCTACAGAAGAACAACCTCCAGTTCCAACATACCAGTCTAACCTGGTCACAGCAAGGTTGCAGTGCCAGAAACAAATAAACAGCTCACGTATAATAGAGTTTGAGCACAAAACTATAAATTATAGGACTTTTTCAGAACTTTTTTTTTTTATCCAGACCATAAATCTGAAAAGAAATGATAGCATACCAGGAACCTAAAACAAAAGCAGTATGGACTTTCTGACTTGGGTGCTTAAAGTACGAAGTAAAAATGTATGCATGTATAAAATCATCATATGTATATACCCCAATTTTACACCCTCCAGAACACACCCAAACCGAAGGAATCCCTTCTCTCTCCCACCATAATTCCAAACCCAGCTTTCCTCCAGTGAACCACCCAGCTGTGACATATTTTCCCTTCCAGACCATCTGCTTTTTCTGAGAAAAAATAATCATATTTCATCTCTTTCTGAATAGCAACCCAAACCAATTCATGCCTCACCTGCCCATTGGGGGTCACAGACATCCTTGAAGAATACCTTTAGGTACTCTATCTGCTCGAAAACCCCTGGAAGACCAGACTCTTGTGCATCCACATGTCATCCACCTTTCCTACATGAGCCACTAAGTTCTGTCCTCAAACTCAGATGAAGATGATGATTATTGATTTGAATGATAGGAGGGCTCATCAGTCTTCCTCACAGCCTAGCTCCCCATCATGCTCCACACCTCATTCACTGTACAGAAAAAAAGTTGTTGGTGTCATTGAGTACCAAATTCTTCAATTAGGCTTAGAGCTCTTCCTTCTTCAAAGGAAAGTACAAGAATCAGCAAAGCCCAATCATACTACATTTGTATTTGCTATTAATGCTGGAAAACTGTGTAAGGCTGTACTAATCTGAATAGATCTGCTTTAGAAACACAGTGGGTAGCACCAGAGGAGCCCCAATTCCATTTCCCATTACGTGCATCAGACACGGTACATGTAGAGAGGAATTATGCATAGGCACAATTCTAACCCTGCTTTCAAGTTGGAGGGTTTTTTTGCATATTCCTAGAGGAGAACAAACCAGAACTCTGCTTCGGGCAAACATTGCCCCTTGGCCATCTCGGAAAGCACAGCTTTACTTCCAGGCAGGTTTCAAAGCTCCTCACCTCGAACAGCGACGCTGCCCCGGAGTGACTGAAACACACAGCCCTGCAAACCAGCAGCATTTCTGCTCCCAGATGGGCTGCCAGGAGGCCAGCCGGGCTAGCTGGCTCTCCAAGTACAGGGAGAGGAGCCTGGTTCGGTGTTCAGGCGTCTCATTTACAGACTGAATGCCATCCCTTTGATGAAGGCAGATCATCTGTGAAAGCACAGTTTGAGCTCCCCAGGAGGGAAAGCTTGTGGTGAAAGCTTTAGAGCAGGGATACTTGCTGAGAAATGAGGGTCCTGTGGAGAACACACGAAGCTGCTGTATTTTACTGCCTACATCAAGTGCCCATTACCCTGTGTTTCTAAGAAAGTAATGTAAGTGTAAGCTATGCTTTTAAAAATAAAATAAAATAAAATAAAAAAAACCAGAAAGATGGGTATGCTACAGACAATTTTGTAAGGACATCACACCCTGAACATGTTGTTCCTCTGACATTTACAGTGAGCACAAGGGACTGGGCAGTAAGCCGATGCCAATGAATTTGCTATCACTTCTGTAGCAGCAGGATGAGACGGAAAGGTCTGAAAGCCCGCATCTGAGCGGTACGCACTGCAATTCAGCCTGCTGCTTTTCTCCTTGGAGAAGAGAGGGAACAGCTGCCCGGAGCAGCAAACTCTGCCCAGGCCGCCAAATCCTGCCACCTGCACATGCGCCAGAGCAGCTCTCAGACCACAAGGGAGGAAGGGAGGGAGAGGAAGGGATGGAAGCTCACAGCTTCCTGAACGTATGTGACCCACCACCCCCACCACAGCAAACTGTGGGTTTTTTTCCAGTGAAAGTAAATTACATGAGTCAGCTAAGCTCAGAACCCTACGAGAGACCGTGCCCATGTTCAGTAATGCCTTCTTGGTGACTCTTCCTAATGAAATCAATAGACTGGTTGGGGGCTTAGTAAATGCACCCGCAGCGAGGACTGCAAGTCTGTCTTACATCTGGACATGGGCTGCCTGGACCATAGGGAAAAGCCACGTCACCCCCCACCCTACAACAATCAGCAAAGTGCAGAATGGGGAGGGGGGAGCATGCCAAAATTTGTTATTGCCAGCACTAGCTGTAAGATATTCCCCACCCAGAAATAAAGGAACGACCCAGGCTTCTGCAATCTCTCAGGC